GCTACAAACAATTGTTCTAATCTCTCACAAAAATATACTTAGTAATGAGCTGTAAAGTTATGTTTTTGCACTTTTCACCAAATAATGTCGCTTAGCCGAACATTAAATTTTTGAATAAACAAATATCATTAATTTTCTGAAGTGAGAGAGACACCTTCTTTAGCAAAGATATTTGAATTGTTGTGATTGAATTTTGGATTGTTGTGGTTGAATTTTAGACGAAAAAGTTTCTTTTTGTAATTTATTTCTTTAAAAATGATCATTCTGCATTTACAATACAGTGTAAAAAGTCGCACTAATAATGACCTCATTCTATTGACACCATATCTACCTTTAATGAAAAATATATGCTGATTATAATATTAGATTATAAAATTGATTACTTTAATAAAACCTCTTTTATTACATTTGATCAGATACTATTCAAGCATACATGCAACATGCATAATTATTGTTCATCAGTACGACAGTAGTTCATGAACGACTGATAATATTCATTGTAAACACAATGAACTATAGCTACAAGTATTACAATTATAATTAAAGAAGAAAACCTGAGAAAGTTGTAATGGGACCATCGTAGTAATAACCTTGACCAGAGTAATATTTGACCCAGACTGCATCCCCCTTCTGAATAGTCAGCACTACCAGATTGGGACCAGAGTCGTAATAGTCATCATTACTCGTACTATATGCCATAGTTCTTACTTTTGTTGATCCGTTCAACACAATGTCAACATATATGGTTTCTCTATAATAGCTTTGAACATTCAGGAAGAAGACGTACATCCCGGCGATAGGAGCTGTAAATATTCCGTTACTTGGGTTGTATCCATTCCCTTCATTAGTGATGACGGAAGGAAATACCAGTGTTCCACTGTTCCAGGATGAGCTGCCGGATGATACTGAGGCGGAGAAACCAACCCTCTTTGGTTTATCTACAAATATTTTTTCGTTATTGTTTTTTTAATTGAATTATTGAAGATTGAAGAAGATCCAAGGAATTATTATGTATGCATGATCGATCAAGCAGAATTGAATTTGATTAAATAAGATTAAATAAAGAATATATCTTATGAAGATCCAAGTCGCAAAAACAGTCGTATGGTGTTAAGAGCCATTCTCTGTAAAGACTTGAAATGTTATATAGGAGATGTAGCACACATTGTCTCAGCATTTCTCCAAACTTTGGTCGCCCGCGTGGCGCAGTGGAGAGTCGCGAAGTAAGGAGTTGATCCTTACGTCGGGGTTTCGAACCCCACTATGGGACGTGGAGACCGGTCCTTCGGATGAGACCGTATAAACCGAGGTCCCGTGTCGCGATAGGTGCATGAAGGAAAAAGATCCCTCCCTGCTCAATGCCCCTGAGAACCGAGTATAGGACAAAATTTGCAGCTCTCCACCGGCAAGTGGAGGCGTCTCCATATGAGTAAAAAATTCTCGAGAGGGACGTTAAACAATATACAATAAATTAATCAATCTCCAAACTTTCTATGTTAAAGTCTTTGATACCCTAAACTAATTTCTAAACTAATTTTGGGCAAAAATTGGTTGCTTTGTGTTACAGTAACAATGGCAACATGTCTTAAATTTTGAAAAATGGCATTTTTTACCGTGTTTGGAGTCCCATGTTAACATGTGCGGCAAAGCAAACAATTGGCAATGACAGTCTCCTAAAGCTTAAGGCCTGGTGTCTTAAATGCATGATAAACATATTTGGTAAATTGGTTACATACGTTACTATGGTAACAAAGTATTCAAAAGCTAAAAGCAAACAGTTCATTATTGAAAATTTTAATTTTCAAATACAAAAAGTATATAGCTGGGTTCAGGGAGGGAGGTATATGAAGAAATTTAAATCTACACAGGATGCTTTTTAATTAATATGACACATAATGGCTCTGTTATTTATAAGATGACAAATATTATTGATAAAGCATTTATATTCATTTGTTATGATCCACTCTGATGACTCCTCTATTCTCCCTTTTGTCACAATGTGAACAAGTTTAAATTTACATTACCTTTTTGATGCTTTTATGTTAATGATCAATAATGGCTTTGTTGTCTTTGTGAAGAACTTTAACTATTTTTCAATGTATTCCTACGTAAAACCTTGTTCACCCATCATGGCCCATATCTTCCCCCTGGGGATCATGATCTGAATAAACTTGGATGCTCCCATATTACTATGACCAATCATGGCTTTCTTTTCTTGAGAAGAAGAATTTAAAAAAAATTCTATGCAATTTTACATTTATCACACATTATGGCCCCACCCTTGCCTAAGGGTCATGATTGGAACAAACTTGCATCTACACTACCAGAGGATGCTTCCACATAACTATGACCACTCATGGCTTTGCTGTTCCTGAGAAGATTTTAATAGATTTTTTTCTATGTATTCCTGTGTAAAATTTGATCCCCCAATGTGTCCCCCTTCCTAGTCCCGGACATCATGATTTGAACAAACATAAATCTACATTAATAGATGATGCTTCCATACATGTATAATTATGACCAATCATGGGTTTGCTGTGCTTGATAAAAAGATTTTTCTCATGTACTCCTATGCTAAACTTTGATACCCCATTGTGGCCCCACCCTACCCCCGTGGTGATTTGAACAAATTTGAATCTTCATTACCAGCGGATGCTTCCACATGAGCTTCATCTTTTGTGGCCAAGTGGTTCTTGGGGAGAAAGTTTTAAAGATTTTCCCTATGTATTCCAGTGCTAAATTTGATACCCCATTGTGGCCCCACCCTACCACCAGCGGTCATGCCTTGAACAAACTTGAATCTACACTACATGAGGATGCTTCCACATGAGTTTCAGCTTTTCTGGCCAAGTGATGCTTGAGATGAAGATTTTTTGAAAAAAAAATTCCTTTATATTCCTATGTTAAAATTGATCCCCATCGTGACCCCACCTTACACCCTGGGGTCATGATTTGAACAAACTTTAATCTTCACAACATGAGGATGCTTCCACATGAGTTTAAGCTTTCCTAACCCAGTGGTTGTTAAGAAGAAGAATTTCAAAAGGTGCCATTAAATTTTCATTAATTCAAAATTATCTCCACATTGAGCAGGGCGTGACCCTTCACTTGAAAAAAAAGCTTGAATTCCCTTCACCCAAGAAAACTTTCCGGCAAGTTTGGTTGAAATTGGCCGAGTGGTTCGTGAGAAGATTAAAATGTGAAAAATTTACAGCGACGTCGACGACAACAACTCGAACGACGACAGACAACGGACACTTTTTGATCAAAAACGCCCAATTAAGCCTTAATTAAGCTAAAAAGCAATAAATGGATGAAATATGACCAAATAATAGAGAAAAGAGCCTTAGAACATACACCAAGAACAAATAATTATATACACAGGGTTTAAAGGGAACATTTGGTCAGAATTTTCATTTCCATAAATTATGTAAAACTGTATCTCTCATATAAAAAGAAAAGCTGCATCTTATAACAGGACACAGCATATAACAGCGGTCAAATTTGATTTTGACTGCTTAATTTGAGTAGCATGTGGAAAACCTTATCATGGCCGCTGCTGACGTAGTGGAAGCAGATTAAATGCCAGATATCTAGAGTCGATGCATTTATGACTGCAGAGAAATTAAATTCTTTACATCAGAAATAGGCTTATTTAATCAATTGTTTAATTATAGGAGAAAGATTTACTTCCTTCTTGGACACATTTTAACATTTAAAATAGTTGGAATTAAAATCAAGTAAAATATACAACCTTTGCAGTTAAGTTTTTAATCTAAGTTTAATCCCCAGTTTACTGCTTTTTATTATCAATTTTATTTTCCTGAATTCTGAAACACTAAAAAATAAGAATGTGAAATTATATTTCCTTTATAACATCCAGATTCAAACTGAAATCCTAAGTACTAAATTGGCGCATTTTCACAACTTGATTCCGACATGATAATGTTTACTCTTAGAGCCAATGTGTCATGAACACGTCATAAAAGTGAGGATTGTGGGAAATATTTAGCAAACGAATAACTTTATCTCTCAACATGGCAGCCTCCAGCAGTCAGTTCACCTAAAAGTTTGGTGTCATATTACTTTATAATTTAATCAAAACAAAAGACAGTATCAGTTAAAATTCAATAATGATCATTCAATGAATGAAATATCAAAAATTTATTCTAGACCCGACGTTTCCTTTAAAATTGAAGTTTAAGTTTAAATTAAAGTTTACAAAATCGAATATTCTCCCTTGTTGGTTACCATAGTAATAGTGTTGTTTTCTTCATTAAATTTCATCAATATATGATATTCAACTTTAGTTCTATCAGATAAATACTATTCAAGGTGAGGCATATAGTATATTTCTTGATTTAATTGGAAGTAAATTTTTAAAGGTACTTGGACACAGATTTTAAGTTAATATTTTCTCTATAAAATTACGACCTATATATTTGAATGGCAATCACACAAAAATTAATTAAAAATCTTATTTCATTTAAAAGTTATTAAAACTTCAAAGTTTTGGGCGGGTTTGATTGGCACACCCTCGCACTTTCACGAATTTTAATTTTATTCTTAATCCTTAGGAAAAGTGGCACTTTTCCTTTTATATATTGAAATATATAATTCGTGATATTATACAGAAAATAGTAACTTCAAATCTGTGTCCAAGTACCTTTAATACAGCCAAGAAAATTAACTTTTAACAACTATGTACGTTGTTTCCTTGGTAACACCGCAAAGAAGCAAGGTGTCATGTTTTTGTGAGAATGGTTTGTTTGCACTTTCCTAGTTTTCTTTAAGGCTCAGCAAAGATTTAAAGTCGCAATTTTTTCCGGCTGTTACCATAGCAACTGAGACATATAGCAACGAAAATTTTTTTGACATATGTACTAAAAATAAGTGAAGTTTCATCAAAATAGGTGATCATGCGTGGCAACGAAGTTTAAGTGGTTACAGAAAATGGCTCTCGAAACTTCTTACTGTTCTCTCATTATTTAAAATATTACCTGATATGTTATTTGTCAAATTCATTCGGAACACCTCGAGAGAGGACACGGTAGAAGACAGCTGCAGTTGTTCATACTTCGATTGCTTCACTTCCGACATAATGTCTTCTAATGTTTTACTGATGTTCACTGAAATTAAAATGTAAGAAGAATCTTTTGGAAACATTATATAAACATTACAAAGAAATCAGTTTTATATTGATACACACTTCCGCCCCAGACCGGGGTTGAATACATTCACTCACACCTTTCGCTTCGTCTGAAGGTATTTCAATTACCTTGCGAAGCTCTTATCACATTACGTACCCTACATTACTTGAATTAAAGAAAGTAACATTTATTAATTGAAAATGGTACATTTTAAACATTCGTCGGCTTAGGATGACTCACTGACTCAACAGTCGCAGCTTATCAGTTTATTGTGGTTTGAATGGAGCGTAGCGTAGTCAGCCGAGGATTGCCGATTGGATCAAGATGTCGGTAGTCACTTGTCGTTTCGTACGAATGAGACAGGAACTGTCAGTCTATGATTTGAACTTATAAATTTAGTAAAGGGTGTTTCATAATATATGTTACATTTTGAATCTTTAATTTGACAAACACAAGAAACACAAGAAAAAAGATACAGATACATGTATGTCTTTTTATCAAATTTTTGCATCTATCCATAAGATTCATTATGTTTAATTACCAACTAAAATATTAAACACTGAACAAAATATTTAACATTTATGAAAATTATTGAAATTTTCAAGTTTCATTATTTTTGCTACATTGAATTTCACAACGTCAAAAGTCCACATTACATGTTCTAATTGATCTCCATTATTTCAAAAACAAATGAAAGTTGCTTCTTAAAAATTGAATGGAGTATAACCTTGTCATGTATTTTTTGCTTTGACTCTCCTCATTTGAACGTCTGTTCTTTTTTAGCTCATTCAGTATCTGTGGTCTAAGATTCTAGACCCTGTTCCTTAAGAATCCCTACAGAAAAGAGCCCAAAGATTGAGATTGTCGAATTCCAAGGTCAAACTCTTGCCTTGCATTATTGAAAATTTGTACGCTGCTAACTTCAAATCATATTCCAAAGTTTAATGTATGCTGTAAATGCTGATATTACCAGCATCCATTACTGAAAACATCTATCAGACACTTTTCTCTGCAATTTGCTTCATTTAGAGTCTCCATCTCACAAAAAAAAATCTCCGCTTTTTTAAAGTCTTTAGGCTTTCTGGAATACCGTGTTATTTATTAAATATTGCCCGTTCCCTATCCTAAGGGGGATGTACAAGCCATATTGGATCTAGTCTGGTGTAAAATAAGAAATACCAAGAATGCGCTTAATACTCTACCAAACTAGCCCAAAGTTACTCAAAGTGCTAATGCACTCATTACCTACTGTTAGAGACCAAAATTAGTAAATAATTAAGCTTATTTTGTTTTAATTAGGAGGAAATTAATCATGTTAGAACTGCGCAGCTACAGCATTCACGAAATGAAAACTGCATTGAAAATGGTGTTAGTTCGATTCATTGATAATATGGCTACAGCCATTTGTTTTGCTTTTTTCTTGTCATTATACATAATTCTTGAAAATTTGATTTTTCATATGGGGGTCTTCCTGAGGCCATGTGTTTATTTCGTCCGCCATTCTTTTTCATATTTTTTCCTTTTCTTCCGTAAACAAATACGTTTAAATTTTAAGGAATTTTTTCTCACTTATAAATACGGACCCAATAACTTTTCCCTGAATTTGGGAAGACCACCAAACGTCATTTTAAAGATGGTCTCAAATATTTAATTATGCTGATTGTTTTGTTTACAATGTAAAATTGTAATTTTGACAATATGGGCAAATAGAAAAAAAAGTGTTTTTTTTATTCAGTAAATCTCTTAACCCACTCTGAATGATTACATTCCTTTTCAAATGTTTCTCCGCTGTAATGAAAATTGTTTATTTGCATGACACAGTATACGAGGGGTGATCAAAAAGTAAACGATATCTTAGGTATTGATAGTTATATTATTGTTGAAATATTCAAGTATTTTTCAAAGTGTAAATTGGAGGTCTTTGATAGCATATTGCTTAATTAAAAACACATCTCTTTTCACACTTGCTTTCATCGGGCAACATAATAAGTATCTTATTTTACCTTCTGCCTTCCTTCACTAAAACGATCTATACAATCATTGATTGAAATTATAGGAAGTCATTTGTCTTAATGAACTGTGAACAAATTCTTATACGCAACTTCAAAGGCATTTCTATGATATACAATGAATTTAACAGTCGTTTGTTGAACGAGTTCCACTGAAACAACAATTTTTCGTCACAACTAACCTGCATAGTGACGTCATTTTCACATTGTAACGTCACAAACAAGGAACAAGACTTTATTCAGCATATGCTATTTATAGAACTTGCGTTTGGCTATGTGTGTACCAAATTTGTTTCTAATCTGAATTGTGGTTTTGTAGATATAGAGATAGTTTGCGAACTTTTTGATCACCCCCCGTACTAGTAGGTACTAAAACAACGTCATTCATATCGATTTTTATGTGTCCAATTTTCTTTGTGTTTCATTGGTGATAATTAAAATTTTGATAGATCTATAATATAAGTTATCTGTGGCAGACTTACAAACTCCTTATTTTTAACTTTGATGGTGCTCATTTTTCTTACCTGGAATCAAAGAGTTTAATATTTTTATGCCCCCGTAAACGAAGTTTCGGGGGTATACAGTTTTTGTCGTGTCCGTCTGTCTGTCTGTCTGTCTGTCTTTCTGTTTGTCTGTTTGTCCGCAAAGACTTTAACCTTGCCCATAACTTTTGATTTAGTGGAACTATGATATTCATATTTCACATGTGTATTTCTTGTGACAAGACCTTTCTTTGGGTACCACCAAATTTGACCTTTTGACCTTGACCTTGGAGTTTGACCCACTTTAACACAAAAATTTTGAGTTTTACTTTTGCCATATTTTTTCAACAGTAGATAGCAGGACATTTATATTTTACATGTGTATTTTTTGTGAAAAGACTTTTCATTGGATACCAACAATCTTGACCTTTTGACCTTGACCTTAGAGATTTCTGTACTTATAAAAAAAACTTTAACCTTGGCTATAACTTTTAAACACAAAGAGCTAGGGCTTTCATACTTCACATATGTAATTGTTTTGAAAAGATGCTTCATTGGATACCAAGAACCTTGACCCTTTGACCTTGACCTTGGAGTTTGACTTACTTTAAAAATACAACATAACATTGACCATAATTTTTGAAGTGTTAGTACTATGGCTTTCATACTTTACATATTTAATTTGTGTGACAAGGCCTCTCATTTGATACCAAAACTCTTGACCTTTTACCTTTACCTTGGAGTTAGACCCACTTTTACACAAAAAATGCAAATTTTTACTTTGGCCCTAATTTTTAAACGGTAGATACTAGAAATTTCATTTTTCAAATATCACTTCTTTTTCGTAAGACCTTTCATTTGAAACAAAGAATTTTGACCTTGACCTTGGCGATTTCCGTACTTATGAAAAATCTTTAACCTTGGTCATAACTTTGAATGGTAAGGGCTAGGGTTTTCATACTTCAAATTTGTAATCCTTGTGAAAAGACCTTTCTTTGGATATTAATAACTTTGGATATTTGGATATTAATAACTTTGACCTTGACCTTGGAGTTTGACCTTCTTTTTACAAATTTCAACCTTGGCCATTACTTTTGAACAGTAAGGGCCAGCGCTTCCATACTTACCATATGTAATCTTTGAGACAAGGCCTTTCATTAGAAACCAACAACGTTGACCCTTTGACCTTGACCCAGAGTTTGTCTGAAGAAATGTTTACATTTTGTTCTCACTGCACTAAAGGTAGCCGGACATCCACCTTAAACCTTGTTACTAGCCTTCTGATAAGCATCCTAGAAGCTTCTATTCTTTTGGAAAATTTATTTCATCAACTTCTGATTGAATATTGGCGACATGAATTGAAAACAAAAACAGCTTTAAAATTCAGCACTGAATGGATAAGAAAAGTCTATTTTGAAAAATATTCAAATTATGACACCGGCGTTTATAGCACAATTAATCATTGTAAGACCATGATTTCCTGGACTTTTTCACATGGAACAAATATGTAGGATTTGGTGTTTAAAATGATATATAGTATGTAATAAAAGTGTAATAGGTAAGAAAAATAATTAGATTTAAAAATGTAACTTATATTATGAAACAAGTGTCGTATGTGTATGATTTAGATTTTGAATGCCTCATGTGTGCTTTTTAAGCAGAAATAAATCTCGCATGAGGCTTTGAAATTTATGGAGAAAACAAGCAGTATTCACGCCATTAAGGGGGATGTACAAGCCATATCAGATCTAGCCTGGTGTAAAACAAGAAATACCAAGAATCCGCTTAATACTCTACCAAACTAGCCCAAAGTTACTCAAAGTGCTAATGCACTCATTACCTACTGTTAGAGACCAAAATTAGCAAACAATTCAGTTTATTTTGTTTTAATTAGGGAGAAATTAATCATGTTAGAACTGCGCAGCTACAGCATTCACGAGATGAAAAATGCTTTGAATATGATGTCAGTTCGATAATATGGTTACAACTATTTGTTTCGCTTTTTTCTTGTCATTATCCATAATTCTTGAAAATTTTATTTTTTCATATGGGGGTCATCCTGAGGCCATGTGTTCATTACGTCCGCCGAACCTCTGTCACACAGAGTTCATATAACATTTATTTTAGAACAAATGCGACCATAACAACATCAAGACAAGAAATTTATAAGTAATAATCCTTAGGTTATATAACTTACTACTTTTATTTGTTGCATCGCATTGTGTAATTAATGAAAAAACGCGATTTTTACCTCACTCCAGCATATCGGGAAAAACTGCTCTGTTTATCGCCCGGGTTTCCTCGCTCATATCATTCCATTGAGCACGTGGTTGGCATGTGCATATATCTGCTGTGGATTGATGCATTTATTACCATGATCATATTTTATTTTCCATGGAACAAGTCTTGATAATTTGTTGATTTCTTTAAAACTTAAGAAAAAAGTTTTAAAATGTCCTTAACATATGTGTTCACGGTGGATCTCTTT